AAAAGAGTTTCTATTTAGTCCAACTCCTCAATTTTCCAGGTGGATCACTGAGTCCTGGAGAGGTAGAGTGACTTGCGAGGTTATCAGGTAAGCTAGGTGTGTTTTTAAGGAGAACAGTTTATGTTTAGTAGCACTGGCCATTTCTGCTGCCTGGAAGACAGATCTTCCAGGAGCTGAGAACCTTCAGGTGTTAACACAAATACTTATTCTTCCCTGGGAGAATAATCGCTGGTTTGGAGTGAATTCCTGACTCCCTGGCCATAAGCATTCCCTGGGGAGCTTGCTGAGATGCAGCTTCTAATCTGAAATTCCTGGGCAGGGCCCCAGCATCTGCTGAGCCCTGGTGATTTGCTGCTGCCTGTCTGCAGACCACACTGGCAGTCGCAGGCTCTAACGCATTGTTTCACTTTTTCTTCCTAGTACGTGTCACAGGGTGATATTATTGTATTCATCTGTACATCTGTGTGTTGTAGCTCTTCCCACTAGACATGAATTGCCTGACTGGGGTGCCTTGTCTGCCTCATGCCCTGTGATAGGCCCAGGCCCAGCACAGTGCAGACACAGTAGGCTCTCAATCCATGAGGTCTCTTGGTGACAGAGGGGGTCAGGTTCTGGACGGCAGAGACCGTGTCCTGTTTCCTCTGGGTTTCCTCCTGGCCTACCAGGGGCTCAGGGACTGGGCAGCTTCTGGCCCTTGAGCCCATGTGTTCCCAATAAGTCAGGACTGGAGAGACAATGGGAAGAAAAACAGCCTGAGGCCCGTTTCATAGCAATATCAGGTGATATGTGTGTATAAATTTCTTCTTCTTTTTTTTTAATCCTCACGCAATGATATTTTTCCATTTATTTTTAAAGAGGGTGGAAGGGAGGGGGAGAGACAGAGAGAGAGAGAAACATCGATGTGAGACATATGGATTGGCTGTCTCTCTCACACTCCCCAACCAGGGCTGGGGATAAGCATGCAACTGAGGTATGTGCCCTTGACTGGAATCGAACCCTTCCGTCTGCAGGCCAATGCTCTATCCACTGAGCCAAACTGGCTGGGGCTAAAATTCATTTTTAAAACTAGAAAACTTGCTGCAACCTTTGTCTGAGTCCCTTCTGTAACTGCCTGGGACCTTGCCCAGCCCGGTTGCTTGGAGACAGGCGGCCCTGGGGCAGGACATAACCATCCTAACCCTTGCACCACATTCACATGGTGTTCCTGGCCAGGCCCTTGGGGCCTTGATGCCAGTCCATCTGGAACCAGTTCCGTTTGTCCAACGTGGGCGACGCAGATGCCCTGAGGGTGAGGCCACTGGCAGCTCTGCGGAAGCCATCCCAGGACCAATGCCTCACCCAGCCTCGGTTCCCCCCACCTGAGAGCAGGAGAGAACACTGGGGATACTGATTGCCGCTTGAGGCCTAGTCCAGCCTCTGCTAATTCCCTCCCCCCCCCATTGCCAGGATTCCCACCTGCAGTGCCCCGTTGGACCAGATAACTTCCCGCCCCTGGGATGGGGCAACGTGAGAGCAGGGACACCTGAGTCCACCGGGTCCTGCACCTCAGCAGCCCCCGAGAAGCCCCCACCTCCCTTTTCTGCCTCTCCCCTTTCCCCACTCCTAGGACTTGTCTGAGCCAAGCCTCTCCCCTTAGATCCCTGCTCTTTGTCTTCTAATCCAAGATGGCTGGCAGCTGCTGATTCAGCAAAATTTTATCCAGGGCCTCCCGTCTGCCATGTAGACCTGGGGGCAGTCTCTGTAGCCTGTTGGCTGGGCGACACTGGGAGACGCTGGCGATGCTGGGCGACCCTGGCCTCTCATCCTTCCCAGGGCACCAGAGAGTTCTGCACTCATTCGCTCACACAACTCTTCCCTCCCTCCTCCAATTACCAGTTTGTTCACACTCTCCCTTTTTCACTAACACACCCATTTACTCACTCACTCCATCCTTCTGGGCCAGTCCAGCAACAAGTCTGGGAACAGACTGGCTTTAGCATGCAAGTATAGGGGCGGGGTGCCACCGCGGGGTGCCACCTCGGGGTGCAGGGGCCATGTGCTCAGGTGGAGTTCCTCCAAGTCTGAGCTGGAGAGGCCCTAACAAAGCTCAGTCCCTTGTTGAATAGATGAGTCAGGGGCGGTCCATAGGGGCCCGGGTGGCTTTCGGTCACTGGGTAAAAGAGGAAGGAGGCTGCCTCGTGCAGAGAGTCAGCTCTCCCAGCCCTGGGCACAGAATTGGGACATCATGTTTTCTAGTTCTGAGTCAGTGACAATGGGGCTGAGTTATAAGTGCCAGCACTGAGGCAGGGTAACACTCTTAGGGACTTGCATGTGGATTCAGAAGGAGTTGCTCAACCAGGGCTGGAAGGGCCTTCCCTTTAGAGATCTGCAAACCTTTTACTTTATAGCTGTGAGCATTGGAACTCAGATTCCGCTGAGTATTTGCAGTTCTGGGTGCCAGGACAGATATGAATGGGACCAAAATGTGTGCATCAAGCCCCAGGATGGAGGAGTGAATGAGGAATTGGGAAACAGAGTGTAGGAAAGGGGAAGTGGCAGGAGACAGTGCATATTTATCTGCGACATACTAGATATTTACAAACATCATCTCCAAACCGCATAACGATCCATGGGTAGGAATTGTTATTCATCCCAACTCCTTCTTGCCTTAAAGTTTAAGGCTTAAACTAATAGTGTGTGTTCTGAGGCCTCAATTTCCTCCTCTGTAAGTGGAGAACACCATTTACATATGATTATTGGAAGGATTGTTCCAAGTACTTTGCTTAGACTAGTATCAATGATTGTTATTAGGACATAGGAGGAAGCTGAGGTTCAGAGAGGAGCGTGACTAGGCCAGGGCCACACAGCCAGAGGGAGGAAGAGCTGGCCAGACTGTCTGTCCCACTCCCTAACCTGCAGTACAGAAAGGGTTAAAGTGGAAGCTCTGCCCTTCACAGCAGGTGCCTGAACCTGGCTGCCTCTCTGTTCTGAAGAGGCAGAGCCAACTGTCCCAATGCAAAATGACCCCAGGTCACTTGCAGCTGTGTACACAGCCAGCCCACAAAGGGCACTTGGCAAGAGGGGCAACTGCTCTCCTCGGAGGCCCAGAGAGCTGGGCTGGGCCTCCCTCTCTTGCCTCTGAGACCTTGGGCCATTACCTCCCCTTTTCTGGGTCTCCGTTTCCTTCTCTGAAAGGGATACACTTTTGTTTTTCTGCCTCCCGTGTGGGCACTGAGTGAGTTAGAGGCTGGGCATTGTGTGAAACAGTTAAGACCAGTGATTTGGGAGTGGGGTGAATATTATAACTTAAGGGGGAAGGACTAAAGGGAGGTAGAATTCAGTTCAACATAAAGATGAACTTTCTCGGCGCTCAGGCCACAGGCGCGAAAGGAAGTAGGCAAGTGGGTAATTGTCAGTCCTAGGGATACAAAGGGGCTCCTGCCATGGGGAGAGAATAAGAGTCGCTTAGGTGAACCATGGTCTTTTAGCTCAGTGGATAGAGCGTCGGCCTGTGGACTGGTCAAGGGCACATGCTGGGTTGTGGGCTTGGTCCCCAGTGTGGGGCATGCAGGAGGCAGGCGATCAACGATTCTCTCTCATCATTGATGTTTCTATCTCTCTCTCCCTCTCCCTTCCCTTCTGAAATCAATAATTTTTTTTTTTTTTAAAGAGTCACTTAGGTGAGACACATTCCCTTCCCTGGGCTCTCCGCTTCTCTCCTCTCCTGCTGAGCAGAAAGTACCAAGAGATCGTTCCACCTGAGGCGGTGCTGTGAGCAGGTGGCCGAACCAGAATTCTGACTCTGACACAAGCTTGCAGTGCAACTTTGAGCCTCCCTCTGGCCCTCGTTTTCCTAATTCTCTCCTGAGTAAGTATAACAGGTGCAGTTTGGCAATTGTGATAATGTGGCCGTGAAAAGAATGATTATCTTCCAAGACTTTGGCCAAAGGACTAGGCCAGCGGTAAAGAGGAAGCACTGTAATGTGTGGGATTGCAGGTTAGAGCTGGGAGGGACCTGAGCATGAACCTAGAATCCGCCCAGATAATACATCTGGGACTGTGCTTTGTGGCTGACAAAGCATTCTCTCAAAGCATTCTCGATCCTCACCACACCACCTCGAATTTAAACATACAGACCCAGTGACCTAAAGATACAGAGAGTGCAACTCGTTCGACCTCACATGATCTAGAGCACTGACTGGAGGTGGGAGAGAGGTGGTCCTGGGCTGGAATCCCAGCTCCAACAGGACCATGGGCGGGCTCCTTTAGCAATCTACACCTCAGCGTTCTTATTGTTAAGCAGGAAGATGAAATATTCATCATAGGGTTGTGGTGAAGATTAAATGAGATAGCTTTGTGAAAGGGTTTAGTGCAGAAATGGATGCCGAGTAGGTGCTGAATAAGTGCGTTGAATAAAGAAAAACCAAAATACACTAGGAAACTGCAGGGCTGGGCTTCTGGTTCCTATTTCAGTGCTCTTTGCCCCTCCCCCTCGCCCTCTCCCTTTCCCCAAGCGCTTTCTTTCATGTCCACACACACACACACACACACACACACACACACACCCCGTTCATATCACAGCCTCCACACCCCAGGTTGAAGAAGGGAGCTGAGCTTTAGGAGGCTGCTCTAAATGGGCAGCAAGAGGCAGTTGGTCTCGGGTGACCTGAAGGAATCAGTGACTGCCCTGAGGTCAAATGCACTCATTGCCAAAGAGCAAAGCGTCCCTGTAACTGGCCCCATGAGCTGACAGAGGAGGAGGAGCCAGGCTCTTGCCCAGGCGGTTAGGAGTGGTGAAATGACATGCAGAAGGCTGGCAGGTCAGTCCCTGGGCAGATAGATCGCCTAATACAGGCACTGGGGCCCAAGCACTGGCATTGGCCTAAAACAACTGTGTTTTTTGACCCACCAAGTGGGCCCTGGCATCCTGTCCAACTGTCATCCTTCCCAGGCGTTAAAGATAACAGCATAGAAACAGTGCTGGGCAGTCTGCCGGACTCAGGGTGCCAGAGGACGTGACCATGCAGGTGCTCACCCCGCGCTACCCCAAGAACTGCCTGCTGACCGTCATGGACCGGTACTCGGCCGTGGTGCAGAACATGGAGCAGGTGGTGATGTTCCCCAGCCTTCTGCGGGACCTGCAGCCAAGTGCGCACGGGGGTGAGGCCCAGGCTGGAGCCCCCAGTCTCTACAACTACTTCACCATGCTCAAGGCCATCCGCGTGGATGTGGAGCATGGGCTGCTGCCCCGGAAGGAGGGGCAGGTCAAGATGGCAGATGGTGGAGCCCATGAGGCTGAGATTGAAGCTGCAGAGACGGAAGAGGGCGAGGAGCTCTTGGGGCAGCTGGACGTAGAGGCCCAGTTCCACCTGCACTTCTCCAGCCTTCATCACATCCTCACCCATCTTACCTTGAAAGCCGAGGAGGTGACGAGGACATACCAGGAGATAACGGGACAGGCCATTTAAGCCTCGGACAGACACTAGGGAAGGTAATGGTGGCCATGCTAGCGGTTGTCAGGGTCCACGGAGGGACATTCCAGGGGAGCATGGGGAGCAGTGGTGCAACCCCGTGGGAGGGTGTCTCAGACCCACTTCAGGGTTCTGGGAACATCACCTGGGAAGGCCCAAGGCTGCCTCTTTCTGACCCAGAATTGGTGAGTAATGGAGTGACTGCTAAGGAGACAGAGGGAAAAGTGACCTGTGAGTGCATACCTGATGTATGCACATGTGTTTATGCACGTGCACATTTGTTAATAAGTATGGGTATTTACGCAGGTAAATTGTGAATTCCATGTGTGAATTCTATGTACCTGATATTATTTAAGGTCACAGAGCATGAAAAATTATGTTACGTAGGGGCGATAGGTGAGGCTGCTCACAACATTCCTGCACCTGACCGGGGTGCAGCCAGCCAACAGAAAGCTACAGGACTGCTACCTGTGCAGGCATGCCTGTTGGGATGCTCTGTTGTGAGGACATATGTGTTGGAGTCCGAGCCCGTATGTCTGTGCACAGAAGGGTTGGGGTTATGAGGTGTGGGTGAGCAGCCAGCTGGACAAGCAGGTGAAGGCACTCGGTGACAGGAAGTGGACTTGGGACAGTTATGGGTGGGCCACTCCTGGGTAGATGGAGAGACACTTGGCCACACCACCTGCCAGCTTTAATCCTGGGCCACCTGCCAGCCCTGCTCCCACAAACTGGCTTCCCTGGTGATAAACCTTGTTCATGTCCATGGGACTCTCAAAACCACGATGGAGGTACGTGGGCAGGATTTCTATCCCCGTTTTACTGGTAAGGAAATGAAAGCCAGAGGTGAAGCGACTCACGAAAAGTCACCTAGAAAGAGGACAAAAGCAAGACTGGCCCCAACTTTGAGCTGAGTGTTTTTTTTACCACACCCGATTGATTGTGGCCAGATTTGCTATCTTCATAATTTGCCTAGAGGCCACCTGCAATGATGAGGATGGAACAGGGACCTGAACACAGTCTATGGTGAGCTCTGCGCAGGTATTTCCTCAGCCATTCTTCCCTCCACTACCTCAAACCCAAATCAGAACTTCAGCCTAGCTTCTCTCTCCCCTCAAGGCTCCCTAGGTCGCCTTTCAGAGATTCTTGAATATAACTGAATTGGGTCAACAGCTCGGAGTCAAGTTCTGGTTCCACCACTAATGAGCTGTGAGGCCTCTGCTTTCTGGGCTTCAGTTTCTTCACTGAATTGTAACAGTGGTAGCGAAAACAACAACAGGTACTTGAATAGTTTTATAGGTTAAAAATCACTTGTATATTATCTAATAAAATTAGCATCCCCTTTCACAGATGAAAAAGCCTGGAGGCCTGAGAAGTAAAATGAGCCCAAGGTTATTCAGGAAATGTCACAGCTGAGATGCAAATGAGCCCTGGCCTAACTGGCGTCTAAGTCCTTTCCTCTGAGCTAGTGAATTTCCTTAGTGCCATGGAATTCTGCAGCCTGGGCTGGAGGTGGGAACTGGGGGGAGGGGGAGGAGGGGGGAACTGCGTGAGTAGAACATTCACTCTTTGATCAACCCCAAATTGCTTCACAGACAAGAGAAGCAGTTCCATGCAACACTACTGATTTTTGTGGCATAACAGAAGTTAAAAAACCTGGGCTCTGGTCCTGGCTCTGTATGACTTGACTTACCTTTCTTTTCTCTCTCTTTAAAAAAAAAAAAAAAAAAAAAAAAAAAAAAATAAAATATATATATATATATATATATATATATATATATATATATATATATAGTTTTGTTGTTGTTGATTTCAGAGAGGAAGGGAGAGGGAGAGAGATAGAAACATCAATAATGAGAAAGAATCATTGATCAGCTACTTCTTGCATACCTCACATTGGGGATCAAACTCGAAACCTGGGCATGTGCCCTGATTGGAATTGAACTGTGACCTTTGGGTTCATAAGTCAATGCTCAACCACACTGGACAGATTCTTTTAAAAAAAATTTTTTTTATTCCTCGCCTGAAGACATGTTTTTATTAATTTTTAGAAAGAGAGGAACAGAGAAACATCAATGTGACAGAAACATCAATTGGTTGCCTCCTATACATGTTCTGTCAGAGACCTGAACTACAACCCGGGTATGTGCTCTGACTGGGAATCGAACCTGTTACTTTCCAGGACAATGCTCCAACCGAGCCGCACCAGCCAGGGCTAACTTACTTTTCTGCATGGCAGTTTCCCTTTTGGTAAAATGAAGTTATCGCAGCTCTGATAACATGATTCTTCTTTCAGGGCTACGATACTGCAGGCGTCTCCTACAGCAACATCATCGAGCTTTTTCATTATTTTTCTTATTCAGGAGGAACGTGACAGTACCTCAGTGATGTGGTTTTACACTGACTTGTTTTTTTTAATATTTCTGAATTCCACAGATCCCTTTACACGAGAGAAGGCAGACTCTGTGATGAGGACTCGGAGCAGTTCACGAGCCCTGGCGATGAGAGCAGCAAGGCTAGCCCTGCACTGGAAGTGAGGCAACGTGGTTTTCTGGGCCGCTTCACTACCTCTCTTTGGGCACCAATTCGCAACTCGTCACCGGGTCTCCTTTAGGATGCTGCTGCTCTTTACAACGCTCCCTCTCTCCGCTCACCAGCCTGGGATAGTGATCTGTGGATCGGGAGGGGCTAGAGGATATCTAGATGGTGTGTCATGGTAGGAACATAGGTTTTAGCATTTGATTCTTAGCAATTCACTGTGTGATCTTTGGCAAGTTATTTAATCCTCTGGAATCTAAATTTCACCACCTATAAATGGTGTTAGTATTGCCTACCTCACAAGATTAGTCTAGAAATTAAACAAGATAGAATCAAAAGTACCTGGCATATAGTGCTGTTATTTATACGCTCATTCCCCCACCCTAACCGCACCGATATTTCTGTATTTGCTTAGCCTTTGTTTTTTACACTCCAGAACTAAGAGGTAGCAGTGTCCCTTGGATTGAGTGGCTCACTTTTGTTCCTGCCAAGCACAGGTGAACTATAAGCCTATTTAGTACAGAAACCATCTATATATATAAAAGCCTAAGCGACTGTTATGACATAGGTCTCTATGATGCGCACTGACACAGGAGCTGCCCCCCTGGTGGTCAGTGTGCTCCCACAGCGGGAGCATTGCTCAGCCAGAAGCCAGGCTCATGGCTGGTGAGTGCAGCTGTGGTGCTGGAAGCCTCTCCCACCAGCTGCTTCGCATACTGCTACATCCCGCAGGAGATGTTGGACCTAAACCATTAGCCAAACATCCCCCGAAGGGTCCCAGATTGTGAGAGGGTGCAGGCCAAACTGAGGGACCCCACCAGTGCTTGAATTTTGTGCACCAGGCCTAGTTAAAATATAATGCCTTGTATTTGTATATTATTAACTCTAAAGTACTTCCTTAGTCATGATTTTATATTCAACAAGAGGCACTTGAGAACAGAGATGGAACTCATCTAATTTTACCCAGAAACCACACTTATAATCACATGCCACCTACTTTGACATCACATGGAAAGAAACAATTTTATTAATCCCCAAAAACTAATCTATAAAAGAACAGTGGCTAGAATGCCAGAATGACCAAACAACCAGTCACCAGGAGGTGCACCTCTCGATCCCTCCCCCCGGCCTGTGAGCTGCTCGTGGTGGTGGTGGCGCAGGGCTCTCAGCTCACACAGAATGGCAGGACCGTGCACAGCAGGTCTGGAGTCCTGCTGGCCCAGCAGGTCTGGGTCTTGCATGATTTCAAGGGCTGGGTCTCTAGTCTGATCATAAAATCCGAGCCAGGAAACAAAAGCTTTCTGGACAAGCACTGGATTTGATGAGCAATAAAGAGTAAGCTCAGCCCTTGCTGACTTTGCTCAGTGGATAGAGCATCAGCCTGCAGACTAAAGGGTCCCGGGTTCAATTCTGGTCAAGGGCAGGTTGGTTTGATCCCAGGAGGCAGCCGATCAATGATTCTCTGGTATTACTGATGTTTCTATTTCTCTCTCCCTTCCTCTCTGAAATCAATCAATCAATAAAAATTATATATAAAAAAGAGAGTAAGCTTGTAAGCTCATTCCAGTTAGGTGGGATCTTTTACTACTAATTGCACTGAGCTCTGCTGAGAGTGTTAGCACTGGGCCCACTTTCTCCAGGATGATCCATCTTCTAAGAGCAAAGCCCCTTTGCAGAATGTTTTCTGTTCTCCTGGTTTTGAGTTTCCTGCTTGTAAACCACCTGCTATATTGTTCAGAGAGCTCAAAAACGCAATCTTGACCATGTTATTCCTATTAAAAACTCTTTAGTGACTTCCTACTACCTAGAGCAGGAGTGGGGACTGTCTGGCCCACATGCTGCATATGGCCTGAAAAATCATCTGGTCTGGTCTTGCCAAGGCATTAGGGTTGAGTTAAATGTCTGACCACATATAGCAGGCTGTTTTAAGTTGACAATTTTGAATGGCCCTCGAATGATGTTATAAATATCCAATTGGCCCTTCACAGAAAAAAAGGTTCCCCACCCCACCCAGATGATCAAGTCAAAATTATTCTACATGACTTACAAAACCCTCCATAATCTAGCTTGCTTTGCTCTAGAATGGGAGCAGGCAAACCTTTTCTGTAGGGCACTATTAGATATTTTAGGCTTTGTAAGCCATAAGGTCTCTGTCACAACTACAAAACTCTGCCCTCTGCTGTTGTAGCATGAAAGCAAGCATAAATATGTAAACATATGAGCATGGCTGTGTTCTAAAAGAACATACTGGCATGGGTCAGGTTTGACCCACAGACTATAGTTTTCAACGCCAAACTATAACTAGACTTCATTTTTAAATCTGTCAGATGTCTTCTTAAAATTGGGTAAATGAAAACTGACCATTGTTTTTTTTTTTTTATGATAAAAAAGAGTCAGAATGTTCATGATGACCATTTTAATCACAAGGTGTTAAATACAGGTTATTATAAACTTCAGATATCATGAAATCATGCTCCACAAAATTCAGAAATAACTGTTTTCAGTGAAACCAAAGAAAGTGATTTGAAGACTTCAACGCACTGGGTAGAATTTTTCAAATTTCTCACCATACGTTTTCTTATCTATAAAAGAAAAGATCACAAAACATTTATGTTTAAAGTATGTTTTAAATCATATTTCCTAAAGAATAAAATTAAAATATAATATTCTTACAGATAGAAACCCCTAAAATTTCCTTCTTTTCTTGTCCTCAACTATGGTTTGGTGATCACTGAAACATCCTGCTATACTGAATGGATTTTGAAGAATCTGTGGTGATATCCAGATGGCTGCCTGGAGGGGCATGGTGCTGCCAGGGGGATCCTGGCTAAAGGGGTGAAGGAAGGAAGAACAGGGAGGGGCCCAGAGCTGAGGTCATCAAGTACTCCATGCCTGTGTGGTCAATGCATGAGGCTCTTGGCACACCTGCCAGTAATCTACTGCTCAGAGACAAAAAGAGCCCATGAGGCTCTACACGCTCCTGCTGATAGAGGGAACTATGTAGAAATATGGAGGCAAAGAGCTAGAGGTCTGGAACTGAGGACTGCACTGCCATTGGTTCTCACTCTGGAAATTAATATTCCCAAGATTCCTTCCAGCTCTAACATCTAGCAGTTCTGAGTATTTTCTGTGCGTTCTACAACCACTATTCATGGCTTTGTATTAGTCTTTAAGCTCATCGGCAAAAACAAAACAAAACAAAAACTGTACCTTTCAGATCCACCATTAACATTACATATGTGATTAAAGGTTATAGGAATGTTAAATACAGTAATAAAATTTAGGATAAACAGGACCTTAGAGATCATCATTGAGTCTAATAAAATTTCAATGCTTAATATTATTATACATATAGGAAAGTCTATTTAAAATCTATATATTTACAGGTTTAAAATATTGCTTCCTTTTCCTTCCTTCCTTCACATATGTACACATCTGTATTGTGTGTATGTGTAAAATAAAAAGGCAATTACATCATAATTATAGTTGAACAGAGATAAGTAGTTTGCTGAGGAAATTCCTGTCTGTAGCTAGGTGAAAACTTCATTGAGATGATGAACCTTGAGCAGGAATTTGTTAGATGGGAAGAGTGGAAATGGGACAGGAGGAGGATCAAGAAAAAAATACAGTGTATACGAAGTGATACAGGGCAGGTTCAGGACTGGGCCTTTCACAAGGCAGGAGATGAGGCAGGGTTCTGTGTTGTTCAGGTCAGCTATTATTTATTAAGTGCCTACTATGTGTTGGCTCTGTCCTAGAGGCTGGGACATTCAAAGATGAAGCTGCAGTCTAATGAGTGAAACACAACTGTGTCTAAGTAATGTGGTGGATAAAAGGTATGGGCGAAGTGTTTCTACCAGGCAATTAACCTGAGACATGATCTACAGCAAGACCAAAAACATAGGTGTCTGAAGGCAAGTCAATGATTCAAGCAAAAGATTATTAGGGCCTGAACCAGGATAGTAGCAGTGGGGCAGAGTGGAGAGTTCAGAGATGAGAAATAGGAAGTAGAACAATAAGACTTGATGGGAAGTAAAAGAGAAAGACCTGAAGATGATTCCCAGGCTTCTGCTAGAATACACAGGTAGACAGTGGTGAAGCAGGCACCGAACAGAAGGTATGGGCAGGCAGAGGGTACATGAGGGTCTATTTGCTGTCTGAGGTACTTAGCAAGAAATCTGACATATGAATTCAAGAAAATTCTGGTCTATGGACAACCATGTGGAACTAAACAGAATAGAGAAGATACCTGAAGTTACAGACATGGAAAAGATTAACTGGGGGAAATGATGCAAAGTAAGAAAGGTTTTTTACAATTAACTTGAAATACCTTCTTCAGGAAAATCCTCTGGATGTGATTTTATATATGCAAACATATCATGGTCCTTCACAGCATACATATAGTCTTGACGTTTTAGAAGGTAATATCCAACAAAAAAAAAGGAAGTAATATATAGAAGCTGGCGATGCACACCTGAAAATCAAAGGACAAATCCCAAAGAAAACAAAAATCAGTCAATATAAGATTATATTCTTACATTTCAGATATATAATTTGCTTTTCTTCTAAAATTCTTTTTTAAATTTTTATTTATTTATTTTAAAATATATTTTTATTGATTTTTTTTTTTTATATATAGAGAGGAAGAGAGAGGAATAGAGAGAAACATCGATGAGAGAATCATCAATCAGCTGCCTCCTGCACACCCCCACTGGGGATGTGCCCACAACCAAGGTACATGCCTTGACCGGAATCAAACCTGAAACCCTTCAGTCCCCAGGCTGACGCTCTATCCACTGAGCCAAACCAGTTTTGGCTAAAATTCTTTTTTTTTTTTTTTTTTTTTAAAGGACTTTCTATATGGCTATTCTGAACAAATAGCCTTGATCTTGAGATGTTTTCTTAAAGCAATTTGACAACTATAAAAGACAACATTAAAGTCTACAAACATCACTACCAATAGAACCATGATTTTTTAAAATGAGGTTTATAAATTTCTTCATGGGAAAAGGTTTTTAAGTACCAAATCCTAAATGCTAGACTGAGAACAGAAAAAAATATTTTCTTCTTTGATAAGTTAACTTTAGACCTCAACGAATTTATATTCCAGGATATGTTCAGGATGTGATGAGCTGAGGGGAAAGTCCTCCACAAATGGTCTAAAAGCAATTTTGTTGGTCTCCATAAACTAATTTATATTTGCATAATTAGTGGTTACTACAACAGCAGGCTAACTACAAATATATCTCAATTATCTTTTGTACCATTTAAATTTCCTCCTATTTCATGAATTATCTATTAAAAACTATATTTAAAAATTCATCATATTAAAAAAGTCACTCTAAATATATAAAAAAAAAAAAAAAAAAAAAAAGCCGGGACCAGTTTGGCTCAATTTTATAGAGCGTCGACTTGAGGACTGAAAGGCCCCGGGTTCCATTCTGGTCAAGGGCATGTACCTTGGTTGCGGGCATATCCCCAGTGGGGGGTGTGCAAGAGGCAGCTGATCGATGACTCTCGTCGATGTTTCTGGCTCTCTATCTCTCTCCCTTCCTCTCTGTATAAAATCAATAAAATATATTTTTAAAAAAAGTCACTCTATTATAATGAGACTAGAGAGGATCAAATCACTAGAAAGGACCTTATGGCTTACAAAGCCTAAAATATATAATACCATAGAGAAAAATTTAGTTTGAAAGGGAGATACAAAGGTATAACTTTATATATGAAATATTTTTTTGCAAAAGGCTAACTGCAGGTTTGATTTTCTAGCTAAGCCCCAGATTTCTATCCCCAGCTCTCCACTTCTTATCCCACACATCTTCCTTTGGAGAGCTCGTTTATTACTATACTTTTATTTACTATCCATGTGCTGGTGACCCACAAGTACATCCAATTCATACACGCATACTGAATAACAGATACATCCAGATATGTCCACTTAAATATCCTCAAATGAACTCATTTCCTTCCTATTCATACCTCTTTCTCCTAATTCCAAGAATAAGACCTTTTGCCCAGAAATCTAAGTCCTGGGTAATAAACACAGTAATCATCCTTTATTTCTACCCTCTTCCCCATATCCAGCCACTGAATGCTGTCAATTCTACCTTGTAAATATTTCTTCACTTATCTCTCATTTGCTCTAACTGGTCTCCCCTTCATCTAATTTTTCACTCTGTATGATCCCAGCTTTTATCCTGTCACTAGAGGAATTTTTACTGAAATATAAACCTAGCGTGTTGGTCCCTTCTTCTTCAAGTATGGTCAATAGGAGTCCAAACGCTTGCATTTGACCTCTAAGCCCTTCATGAGCTTTTGATTTCACAGAGGAGAGGGAGAAAGACAGAAATATCGATGAAAGAGAATCATTGATTGGTTGCTTCCTACACACCTTCTATTGGGGATTGAACCCACCACGTGGGCATGTGCCCTTGATCAGTATCGAACCTGGGACCCTTGAATCCACAGGCCGATGCTCTATCTACTGAGCCAAACCAGTTAGGGCTGAACTACTTTTAACTCCTCACAAAAACTAGGCTTCTTTATGCTTCTACATACCACATACTTATTTCTCTGCCCAGAAACTTCCTGATCCTTCAAGACTTAACTTAGACATCACTTCAGCTAAGAAGTCTTCCCAGAACTTTCCTGAATTTAAAAGGGTGAGTTCATCTCTATTAATATGTAAGTTGCTATAATAATTATTTCTTTCTCTACTACCAGGCAACACCAATGTTTCATTCATTTTTATATACCAGCACATAGATAGCAGTTAATATTTAATTAAGTGAATGAATGACCTTGGGCAAGTCAATTTACTAACTCTAAAACAAAGATAATACCTATCCTACCTTTCTCACAGCAGTAGTACATAAAAAAAAAAAAATAAAATAAAATAAAAAAAGCATATAAAATATTTTTGGAAAATGTGTAAAACAACAAAAATGTAAAATATTACTATGACCTGGAACTGGATAGGGCCCAGGCTCTTTTGCATTCTCCCTTGCCCCAAACAGCCACTGTTCTCCCAAACTGGGCCACTTGCAGCACTGCAAACCAAAGGGTGCTGGCTGGGTTGTCCCATGTGCCACTGGGACAAAGAACGACAAAGAACGACTTTCTGTGCTTAGCCATATCTCTCACAGCAAGACTTCATAAATATTTTAGACCCTGTCAGTGTCCCGGCCCTAAAGGCAGGCTTAGCCTCTTCCCAAGTCTCATTTCCCTAACCTCTCTTCTCTCTTACCACATAAATTACCCCTCCACAATCATTTTCTCTTTTCCTTTACTCAGTTAATCTAAACTTGGAGTCATGGTGTTCTTTGCAGAACCCCATAAATTATTGATAAATTAAACTAGAAATCAATAAATATTTAATTTTGTGGACTACACATAGATACCAACTAACTGTAAATTTAGGGCAGGTAAGTGGTAGCCAGCAACAGGGGTTTAAAAACAAATGAAAGGAGAAAAACTTAAGAAAAAATTCTGTTAACTTGAAAAAGATCTGCACAATTTGCTTTCATTGATAGAATATTGCAATACTACCCACAGAATGCCAGGTCCTCTCCAGGACTATATTTTGAAAATTCTTTCCCACTTCTCCAGTTCTGTCACACCTGTGTGCATTAACTTGTACCACAATTTGTCTTTTTAATGGATATGCTCATCTGATTTGTAAATATTTGGAGGGTTGAGACCATGTTTTATATTTCCTTGCAATCTACATAGACTTATTCATCCATTAAATACTTACTGAACACTACTATATGCCAGATATTGAGCAAGACAAACACATTATAAATTCAATAAATGCTATTAATGATACAATTTTAATAAAGTCAAGACCTAAATTTTTCAAAGCACCTTAGGAAAACGCAGGGAACTCAGGAACTCTGACCCCTAGCTCTGGGCTAAGTGCTTTATATACATCATCTCATCTAGTTCTCACAGCCACACAAAGAGGTAGCCATTCTCCTTATTTCATAGATGAGGAAACTACAGCTCATAGTGATAAGCTACTTCCCTAGAATCAAAGAATCAAATGAAGGTGGTATCAAACCCACATCATAACCACTAAGCTCTTCCAGAAAAGACACAAAACCTGGTTTGATAAGGTGAGATTAAGTAGTATACACTTCACATTTCAGCCAATCTTTAATTGCTCTTGAACAGTTCCCCTCTGATCTGTACCTCCTATAAGCTCCACAGGCACTCCCTGCTCATCCACTGTCATCAAAACAGGTAACTGTCTCACCCAGACCCATTTGTCTACCAGACTAAACGCTCCTCAAGGTCGGGGATGGTATTCCTCAACCCACATACTTCGTAAGTTGGCGGTCACCAACCGATGGTCCATGGACCACGGTGGCCCATGAGGTCCGAAAGGTTGGTGAGCGCTGCAGGATGTAACACTGCCTGGCAAAGGAAAGAGCTCTGTACATGTTAAACAAACATAATACTGAAAACTGTCTGCATAACAACTGCTAAGGAAAGGGAATTTTGTCCAGCACCTTTTGTGGACCAGGCATTTATTTTATCTATCTCACTTGTCACAACAAATATGCAAAGATCAATTACTCCCATTTTGTAGATGAGGAGACTTTGGCTCTGAACTGCCTGAGTAATTTGCCTAAGGTGACACAGTTGGGAAGCAGTGGAGGAAGGCCATTTAGTTCCATAGTGGAGCTCTTTCTAAGACTTGGTACAGGAGGACTGGTAAAGAGAAGGGAGAAAGAAAACCCCATCTACCCAGAGGCAGAAATGATCAAAGATCACTCCTTGCAGTAGAGCAGGGTCATGTCCAAGGGAGATGGGATTTCAATACTATTTAAGCAATGTAAATGCTGAGATTTGGTGGGCTGGAAGCTGACCTCCAGGTATGACATACAGCTGGAAGGCAAAAGGGGAACAAGTGAAGTGATTCCTGGTTGCTGGAATCACTGTAGTATTAACGTTCTTCCTAACTGGGCTCCTTGGCTCCACTCAGTATTGCTTCCCATTGTTGACAAAGTTGACACAGGTCTGATCATTGCATCTCTGCCTGCCTCTCCCAACTCCCCTGGCAATCAAAAGCTAAAAAGGTTTCTATCTGCCTAATTCAGTGGTCGGCAAACTGCAGCTGGGAGCCACAGGTGGCTCTTTGGCCCCATGAGTGTGGCTCTTCCACAAAATACTACATGCAGGGGCACACATCGAGTGCCATTGAAACTTCGTGGCCCATGCGCAGAAGACAGTTTTCGGCTTTAAAAAGAAATTTCAATTGTTGTACTGTTGATATTTGGCTCTGTTGACTAATGAGTTTGCCGACCTCTGGCTTAGGGAATAGCCACGAGGTACCTACTAGCCTTATTGCCCTACCCTGCACACTCACTCAATCATCAAACCATCTGCCATCCCAAGGCCCTTGCCTTCATTTATTCCTACTAGCCCCATAGGTCTGGAAGGCTGTTAGGTCATAGATAAGTTCAAAATCTCCCAGGTTTCCTCCATGTTTACCTTTGGAGATCCACAGCCCTCAGCACACCCACTGTGTCAGCTATTAAAGGCTCTGACAGGATGCCAAGGATACCAGGAGAAAATACAGCCTCCTACTCAAAGCTGGGTCTCTACACGAGCATCATCCGTAATATCTGGCAGTTTAACATCAGGCCTCCTCCCAGACCTAACGAATTAGAATGCACATTTTTATTTTATTTTTTAAAATATATTTTATTGATTTTTTACAGAGAGGAAGAGAGAGGGATAGAGAGTTAGAAACATCGATGAGAATCGATTAGCTGCCTCTTGCACACCCCCTACTGGAGATGTGCCTGCAACCAAGGTACATGCCCTTGACCGGAATCGAACCCGGGACCTTTCAATTCCCAGGCTGACGCTCTATCCACTGAACCAAACCGGTTTGGGCAGAATGCACATTTTTAACAAGCCCCTCGGTTATGAGTAGTATGCTACAGTTTGAGAGCACTATTTTCAAATATAGACTCCAGAGGTCTAAAAACTGGTTCTGTTGCCGAAACCGGTTTGGCTCAGTGGACAGAGCGATGGCCTGCGGACTGAAAGGTCCTGGGTTCAATTCTGGTCAAGGGCAGGTACCTTGGTTACGGGCACATCCCCAGTGGGGGTGTGTGCAAGAGGCAGTTGATCATGATTCTCTCTCATCGATGTTTCTAACTCTCTATCCCTCTCTCTAAAAAATCAATAAAATATATTTAAAAAAATAAAAACAGGCTCTGCTACTTATTGGCCTTATGACCTTGGGCAAGCTGCTTGCACCCCCGGAAGACTGATTTCTCATTGTGGATACTAACTCCCCGCGAGGTGCTTTGAGGATCGAAGGCTGGAATGTACGTGTCAGGAGTACACAGGGCATGGACTGAGCGCTCATGTTTGCACACACCACAGCGCGAAATGAGAGGGGCGCGGGCAGTCCATGGCCGGCCGGTCCTTCATCAGAGTCTCCCTGTGGGGACGTGAGTTCCACCGCACCCCGTTTCCTGAAGAGCCGAACGACCCCCCTGGCCTCGCCGAATTCGGAGGAGCTCAGGGGCGCGGAGGCCCCAGGAAGGCGAGGCAGGGCCTGCAAGGCGGAACGGCCCGCACCAGCGAAGGCACCGCGGCCGCCCGCGGCGGAGCCGGCCCGCGGCCTGGCGACCCTCTCCCCGCCCGCCGGGCCCGCCCGCGCAGCCCTCACCGGCGGTCAGCACCGGCCTCTGCCGGATCGCGTTATCCAGGAGGCCCGAGCAGTAGCCCAAGAAGCCGAAGTAGGCGAGCCGCGGGTCCGTCAGCTTGGGCGGGGGCAGGCTCCGCGCTTCATCCGGCAGGAACTCCAAGGGCCTTCGGCCCGGCCGTCCGGTCATCATATTGAGGCCGTTCTTATGTGAGGCCTGGCCTCAGACCGCCAACGAGAAAGAGAAGCACCACGACCACCGGCGGGGTCCTCGCCCTAAACTTTCTCCTCCCAGCGCTGGGCTGAAGGGCACTGCGCAGGGCGGTGCAGCGCTCGAACGCTTCCCCGGACGCACAGCTGCACCGGCTAGCCCGGGAGGTTCCGGGGCACTAAGTGACACCACCCCCCCCCCTCCCCCTGCCGGCCGCCCGCGGGCGCTAAGTTTAGCCCACGGGGTTGGTACCGGAGTCCAACGAAAGGAGCCAAATTGGGAGACTAGTAGCTACTGCTCTTTTTCACCCGACCTTCCCCACCCAGAACTGTCTCTTCTTCTCCCGCCCCTGAAAGTCCCTTCAGCAAGAATTGATCTTTGCATCCAACATCTACAAGTGAACTTGATGGATAGTTTCAAGAAATGTAATTCATTGAATTCTCATGAGAGCTGTTTTCATTTCCTGGGTGTCCAGTCATTCATTTGTACCGGCACGCCCTGCAAAGTCTAAAATTAAGGTCCAACCATCAACAAAGTATTCAGAGGACCCAAGACTAGATCATGTAGCTAAACTCCTGGGCGGCAGCATCTTGAAATTTTTTCACCTCTGGGTCTTCCGGTCCTTGTACGTGACTGAGGGGAGAGGTGTTTCCTGTCTGCTCACCTACCTCCAATACTGTACTGGGGAGTGTCTATCTTGGAAATGTTTTTTTTTTTCTTCAGAAAGCCCTTCCTGATATTGAGCGAAAATATTTTCTTTTTGTGTTCATTCATGCTCCCTACCAGGAATTCAGCCCACAACTTGGGCATATGCCTTGACCGGGAATGGAACCATGACCTCCTGGTTCATAGGTTGATGCTCAACCACTAAGCCATGCTGGCAGGGCTATATTCTCCTTTTAAAAATATGTAAATGAAATAGTACAATGCTAAAACTCCTTTTGATTTCAACCTTCATTCTTATTCTCTTTCCTTCCTTCCAAGAGGCAACTTTGGTCCTAATTCCATATATTATTAGTGTCCATTTTAATATATTCATTCATAGATGAATTGATAAACTACATAAAACATGATATGTGGGTGTGTGGTTTTAAAACTATACATTCTGTACAGATTATCTCCTTGTTTAGAATTGGAATTGCTGAATTTCAGAATATATGAATTTTATTTTTTTAAAAAATATATTTTATTGATTTTTTTACAGAGAGGGAGAGGGAGAGGGAGAGTCAGAAACATCAATGAGAGAAACATCGATCAGCTGCCCCCTGCACACCCCCCCCCCCCTGGAGATGTGCCTGTAACCAAGGCACATGCCCTTGACCAGAATCGAACCCTGGACTCCTGAGTCCACAGGCTGACGCTCTATCCATTGAGCGGAAACCAGCCATGGCAAATTTTCAATTTTACTAGGTAATATCAGGTTCTCCATAAAGAAACTGATCCAATTTCCATTTCTATCCACAATTTATGTGAACGTAGCAATATTTTCTATTGTCAGACTTTAGTTTTTGTCTATGGTAAAAAAAAAAATGGGATCTCAATGTTGTTTTAATTTAATTTGCATTTCCCTATTATCTAGTGAAAATTGTTATCTTTTTTTAAAAAAAATATTTTTTTATTTATTAGAGAAAGAGGAAGAGGAATAGAGAGATGAAAACATCCAGCCCACAACTGGGACATGTGCCCTGAATGGGAATCAAACCAGACATCTCCTGGTTCATGGGTTGATGCTCAACCACTGAGGCACACTGGCCAGGCAATAATATCTCTTTCTACGGTCATTTGCCATTTGGGTTTCCTTCTGTTTGCCTAGTCATATTTTGCCTAGTCATACACTTTGCTTATTTTCTCCAGGGTTGTCTTTTTCTAAATGATTTGTAGGAATTTTTAATGTGAAGTAATATAAATCCTTTGTCTGTTATATAAGTTACAAAAACCCCCATCTGTTGTCTTAATTTTATAAGGTCTTCTATTACACAAAAGTTAAAGTTCTAATGTAGTAACATTTATCTATCTAATCTTTTTCTTTATGGTTTATTTCGTGTCTTTAAAAATTCTTTCCAAAGGAAGGTAATAAATTTTTTAAAAAAGAATTTTAGTTTCCAAAACAAAGCTCTAGATACCACTTTTATGCATTGCCCCACCTCAGTAAATGGTGCCACCATCCATTCAGATGCAATACCTGGAATATAGGGATTATCTGATTCTTTGCTTATCCTCAAGCCCTATATCTAATCTATCGATATTTCCAACTACTGTCAATTCCAAGTCCAAATCCATCTGCTTCTCCATCACACTGCCACCACTCGTCTTCCATATTCCATAACCTTGCTCCCAGGTAATTCTCAGCAGAGTAACTTTTTGAAAATAGATTTCAACCTCCAAGTAAATAAGAAATTTAATAGAAAAAGTGATAAAGAGCATAAACAGTTTTCAGAAGAAAAGTACAAATGGCTCTTAAACACAGGAAAATACTCTAATATCTCTCATAAGAGAAATGCAAATGAAAATTACCTCGAGACATCATTGGCAAAGATCTAAAATACTAATGACACACTCATGAGGTAGGCAAGTTTGTGGGGAAAGAGACATCATTCCTTGCCTGGGGAACATAAACTGGTGCAACTTCTATGACGAATTTGACAACATTTACTAGATAGATTATAAATGCACATAGCCTTCACAGAGCAGTTTCCAGGTGGAAGTCATTAACAAGGAAAACTACACCAGTGCTGGTCTGGAAAGTCAGCTCATCTTCCCTGCAGTTCTCTTCTGCTTCTGGCTCTATGCTTTTTCCTGGGGAAAGACAGTGACCAAGAATACCAAGTCCCTCCCACTTTTCTTTTATCTTGTGAGATTTTGGTATACTGTATGTAAATTAAACAGCAGATTAAAAAAAAAGACTTGTTTATTTATACATCTTGTTTAAATTTTGATAGTAACGTTGGCTTGTTGACTTTGCTACATTATAGGTTGTAAAAAATATTTGGAAACTATACTATTTAGTAATTGCTAAAACCTAGCCATTTGTTGAAAATTGCCCACATCTCTGCAAAGTTTAAATATACAAAGTATATTACTTGGGAGAATCCTGGGCTGTAGGCAGAAGTCTGAGTTCTAGTCTGCGCTGGCACCAAAAAGCTATTCATGTCTCGGGAATCATTGCACTCTTGGCAATACAAGGGGTTGAATTGCTTTAAAGACTATATTAGTGCTTTGAACTCTTAAGCCAAACAAAAACTCACATGAAGCTCTTAATATATAAAATAGATCAACATATTTGCTTTGGTAGAAGATGGGACAGGGTCGAGGGACTCTGAGGCAACTCTAAAGAACGTTAAGGGCTCTGCAGAACATTCTGGAAATCTCTGCACCAGGTGAGCTCTTCCAGCTCCGACATCACATCACATTCACAGTAACAGCCTTCAAAGCATAATTAAATTCGGCCTTGTTGAGAGGTATCCAAATTCATCTTCTAATTTTCTTTTTTTGGCTTCCTTACCAATTGGCAAAGATGTGAGGAACTACACTGGGCCCCTTGTGTTAATGCTGGTACTATACACATTCAGATTTTAATCATGGCCTTGTGATGTGTTTTCACTTATTCAACTGTGCCCAAAACTGGAGCTATCAAAACAAGTGTGGTCTCTGCTCTCAAATTGTTAGTCTCCTTGGGAAAACAGATAAATAATTACAGCCATTAATAGGAGGAGACCCCTGGAAGCACATAGTGAGGGTACTCAATTCTGGTGGAGGGGAAGACAAGGTAGAGGGAAAAGACTCATAAAAATATGAAGATATTGTCCTGGCCCTGGTTGATTTGACTCATTTGGTTAGAGCTTTGTCCCATGTACCAAAGGATTTTGGGTTCGATTCCCATTCAGAGCACATGCCGAGGTTGTGGGTTGACCCTCCTTTTGGGCTCATATGAGAAGGCAACCGATAGATGTCCTCTCACATCGCTGCTTCTGTCCCTCCCCCTCTCTGAAACTAATAAGCTTAAAAAAAAAAAAGATTTTTATTGGAAAAAAAATTATTGAACACTTAATATGTGCCAGGCATGGTTCTAAATTTTTGTGTGATCATTTTAAAGACAAGGATATTTGTCTTTAAATGATGGCTAAATAACTTGGCTACTACAGATTTTATTTTTAACCCTCACCCAAGGATATTTTTCCATTGATTTTTATTTTTATTTTTAAAGTATATTTTTATTGATTTTAGAGGGAGAGATAGAAACATCAATGATGAGAATCACTGATTGGCTACCTTCTGCATGCCCCCTACTGGGGATCAGGCCTACAACCCAGGCATGTGCCCTTTTACTGGAATTGAACCCGAGACCCTTCAGTCCACAGACTAACACTCTAACCAGAGCCAAACCAGCTAGGGTTCCCATTGATTTTTAGAGTGGAAAAGAGGGAAAGACAGAGAAATATCGATGCAAGAGAAACACATTGACTGGTTGCCTCCATCATCACTGACTAGAGCCCGGGTGAAGGAAGAGCCTCTAACCAAGAGCTAAACCAGCTGGAGCATAGCTATAGATTTTTAAAAATCATGGAGACAGAATTTAAAATCAGGCTGTTTGACTCCAGGGCCCCAATTCTTAATCACTACACTGTACTACCTTTATATTCATAGATGTGATAGCAATTAAGTTGAATCTTGAGGTATGAACAATCAGATGAGAATAGAAAAGTCAGCAAAGAGGAAAGAGAATAAGGGGCATGATTGAAAGAAAGCAAATATACAAAATAGCATGGCACACTGGGAACTTTGAGTTGTTAGATGAGATGGGACATAGGGTGCAAAAGGCACTGTGGTGAGAAACATAGGCTCTAGGGGCTCCTCCCATATATCTTTGGCAAAATCCCCATCTTTATCTCTGCAATGAGACTCAAAAGCAGCCTGGGAAAACAGTGAATTAAAGAGACGGGTAGCTGGATTAGCATCCCAGGATGCCAATAATCCTGGAGTCTCTCTGATCCTCTAAAAGGCAATAACGGATAAATAAAAATGTGTCCAAGTTCCTACTGTCAGCCAGATAAATGTTGGCTGAATTTGAATGTGGGGAAGATATGAGGCACCCTGGATAAAAAGTGTGTAGGAAGTATGCTGAAGGAAGGATGAGGACAAGACCAGGCTGTTAAACCAGTTAAGTTTGTTCAGTTAAGGAAAGTTTGAGAAATGGCAGCTTTATCAAAATTGTAGTGTTTGCCAAAGCTGGTTTGGCTCAGTGGTAGAGCGTCGGTCTGTGGACTGAAAGGTCCCGGGTTCGATTCACTTGCCCTGTTTTCAAGGTTCATCCATATTGTAGCACATATCAGAACTTCATTCCTCTTTCTGGCTAAATAATATTCACCCACACACACATACAGGGTATGTACCTTGGTTGCAAACACATCCCTGGTAGGGGGTGTGCAGGAGGCAGCTGGTCGATGTTTCTCTCTCATCGATGTTTCTGGCTCTCTATCCCTCTCCCTTCCTCTCTGTAAAAAAATCAATAAAATATATTAAAAAAAAATTGTAGTGTTTGCTGATAGAATGAACTGTACAGGATATCCTTAACTCAATATAAGAGTAGATGTGATTTGTAATCTCTGGTGAGAGGCCAAATCATTCATTAAATAGTCCACCTAGCTTTGTGAGTATTGTCATTGTATAACTTCAATGGAAAAAAAAAATGAAACAAGATTTACAGAATGGGGACAGTACATCATCTACTTGTGTGCATGCCAATAAGTAGGAGCAGGTAATGATCCAAAATATTTTTGTGTAGAAATATAAAATGGTATTTTATTTATATCTTCCTTGGCACATGATTCTAATTATGCTTTATAGCCCAACAATGATTATCACAGGCTACAAATAATCAGTTCTGTTGATCAGACTCTCTACTTGCCTGGAGCAAGCACAGCAGTCTGAATGGTCTGATAATTTTAACGGGGAAAGGCAAGATTTGTTTCGGATGTATTTCACTGCTTATGGAGGACAAATGGCTTCTCACCATGGTGACAATCAGGTTGCTAGGCTAGGCAAGGCCAAGTCTGGAGAATGGTTCTCAAACAGATCTACTGAATGGTTCATGCCACCAGCAACGTTCTTCAAGTTCTGATTAATTTCCCATGAAATGATTGCTTGGAATACATCCAAGCAGTTCCTTTATTCATTGCTTCTTTGTCTTGCTGACAGGAGGGTCAGTCAACACTGAAACATACAGTTTGAACCAAGCATATGTGATGCCCACTGCACAATACGCTGAGGTCAGTAACAAAGGAAGAAAGGAGTACTTCAGCTTCCAGGAGGTGAAAGGGAACACAAATTCACAGACGACTTCCAGAGGCCCTAGGCCAAGGAGGTAGAAAGTTTCCATCCAATTAAAAAGAGGCTTTTCTTTCCTGAAGAAAAAGGGAAAGGTTTGATTTAGATGCGTCATTCTGGGTTTGCAAACATTTCTTAGCTAAAGCTTCCCATCTGTGCTGTCTTGAAGTACAGCCAAAGCCAAAGTCAAAAGGGTGCATACAATTTCACATTTAGAAAAAATGATAATGACATACCATTATATTTTCTCAATAATCCAAAGGTACCCAATTATCATCTACCTCTGCTGTCACTTAGCTGAAGATCTGAGAGAGAATTAGCTATGCATTTTGAAGAGAAAAGAGAGCTGGATGCTGTTATATTAGAATATGGCAAACAATATATAACTTTTTTGTTTTGGTAAAATAACATAAAATTTCCTATTTTATTTTTACAATTTTAAAGTATTCAATTCAGTAGCACTGAGTATATTGACAAAGTTGTACAACCATTACCACTATCTACTTTCAAAACAATTTCATCACCTTAAGCAGGATTTCTGGAAACATAAAGCAGTAACTTCCCAATCCCTATCTCACTCCTGTTCCCATAATCACTAATCTACTTTCTGTCTCTATGAATTTGTCTATTCTAGATATTTCATATAAGTGGAATCATACAATATTTGTCCTATTGTCCATTTCACTTGCCCTGTTTTCAAGGTTCATCCATATTGTAGCACATATCAGAACTTCATTCCTCTTTCTGGCTAAATAATATTCACACACACACACACACACACACACACACACACACACACACAATTTTGTTTATCCACTCATTTGCTGATGGACACTTGGCTTATTTTCACAATTTGGTTACTGTAAATAAAGCTATAATGAATATTGGTGTACAAGTTTCTGCCTGAGTACCTGTTTTCAATTCTTTTGGGTGTATATCTAAGACTGGAATTGCTAAGTCACATGGTATAAATAAATTTTAATATAATTAAATATATAGTTTTATGAACACAATCAGATACAAACCATAAACAAACTTTTCTATCAATGATTCTATTCCATCTATAATTCCAAGATAAGTAAGCATTTTTTACATTATTTAGTTTTAAGCATCTGTACTTACGTGGTTTTACTCTTAATGCATATTTTACATTCCACTTTTTAGTTCTTATAAAAGATTTTAATTTATGCTAGGTAGTCCCTCCTGAAATATTCCCCTATACTATAGATATGATCAATGTTATATCAGAGTGAGGGGATTTATGGGTAATTTTCTCTCTTTACTAATTTTTCATAATGTTATATTACTGTTAGTAAAAACAGTTTTTAAAAGGCGTATTGTGCATTTAGGAGCGAAGATTTCACAAGAGAAAATGTAATTTTAAGTGTACTTTTTTGGATTACCTGAATAGAGTCTTCAGTGAGGAAATACTATAGATGGTAAATAGTAACATGAGTAGGATTTTAATGGGAAGTTCTGTTGAAAGAAGAGAAGAAAAAAAAGGCAATAATTTAGTTGATACGGGAAAGGTTTCTGAGACTTTAGGCCATATAAACACACTGAAACAACTATATAGTGCTAATAACGCTTTTTGAGCTTCATTGTGCATTTCTGTGACATCTAAAGGCACTGAGAATTAGGGACAGGTTTTACTTAAGAGAATGGGTGAGCCCTTTCCTCCTAAGAGATTTTAAGATTGTTTAAGTCAGGTAACATTGATCTCTTGGCCCTGATGAAAAAGGCCTGGCAAAGGCTCTAAAAAGAAGCTGCTTACCTGGTGCAGTGAAGAGCAGAGGGAAGAGAGAATAATGTCCTGTTGTAGTCAGAATCAGAAAAATTGAAGCATCACCTGCTTTTCCCACAGACAGAAGGCTGAAAATAAAAATTCTCATAATAATTCCTTAAAACAACAAATGAAACTTACATTTGCAAATAGTTTGAATAAATTTCATCTATTGTCACTTCTAGAACTGGCATAATACAACATACTCATCTTTGCTACAAGTCCAATTCAATTGCAAATATTAATTTTTTAATGGGAAGCTTCAAGCAATTGATAGAATGTATCACATTGAATTGGAGATTTAAAAAAAAAAAAAAAAAAAAAAAGGATCTTGCTTCCTTGAGTAATTGCCTGCTCTCAAGAAAGGGATATTGTGGGATTGGAGCTGCCTAGTGGTGGGTAGCCAGGAAACACAACTTGGGGAATTTAATTTCCAACCCTATAGCTCTTCTCTTAGACAATGCCCGACACCTGCTGATGTTCAGTAGAAATTTTAACTCAAGACATTAGAAATTTTGCTTTATTTTTTAATTTGGAAACTCCAAGTCGCTAAATGAACCCAAACAAGCCATATACTGGCCTCACAAATTTGCTTAAAGTTCTTTCAGAGCTTAAATGATTTCTCTCAAGATTAAAAACAAAACAAAACAAAAAACCCACGCTAATTCTATTACCACCTATTCATCCCCTAGGTTTACATTATATATAAAATGAACACTCTTGCATTTAAAATGCCTTTTTAGCATGGCACAGTGAAAATATAAGATTCAGCATTATAAGATTCAGGTTTTAGTCCTACTCTGCTACTTGCTAGCTATGTAACTTTGAATAAGTCAAACTTTCTGAGCCCCAGTTTTTGCAGATTTTAAGATAGGGGATGATAGTCATTTATCCTCATTATCTCAAAGGTTTATGTGAGGCTCAAAAGAAAAAAATGCAAAAAGAAAAAGAAAACCCTAAAAATAACAGGTCTGAAAACTCTGAATGTTGTACCTATGTTAGATATTATTGCATAATGGGCTCAATCCTTACCTTATCTAACAACACTTAATAAGGAAGAGTAGACCTTATTTCCAAAGCCCATGCTTTTTTCATATTGTGCTGCTGCTCAATATCCAGATGTAACAGTCTGGTGTCATTCATGGTTCTTAAATCACCACAGTACCCTTTACACCAAAATATCCAGGAACAACATGCAAAATTTTGCATACCTAAGAACCTTCACAGGTTGCAAGAATCCCAAGTTAAGCATCCCTGTCCTTTTCTAGTGTATAAACCTATACATCTTTGCCTTTGCCTTCCCCACTGAACATGTCAAAAAGGGACAGATCAAATAGAAAACAATAATATCACTGTGAAATATTACAGAAATGCTGACCGACTGAACTACCTGCTTACCTCATTGGGAGAATTGCTAGAAGTATGGCTTTCTCATGGACATGCCATCCAAACATAAAGGAGCTCAAAGCACAAAGGATCAGACACCGGAGAAAGCCTTTGGGCCCTTGGGGTTTAAACCAAAGACAGAAAATAGAGGGCTAGAAACAACAGGCAAAGATAAAACTTCAGTATCATTTAAAATAGGCATTACAGAAACACTGTTCAGGTGCATTTGCATCATCTCTGAAAAACAGTAGATCAAAAGACTATTCTCCATTAAACTGGGATAACTCATCACTTTGTGAACAGTCCACCAAAAATTAGCATAAAAACTACTCAGAAAAAACACACACAAAAAATGGCATTCAGATATATAGAATTCATCAAAATTAATAAGAAATGATAACTAAGTTCTAGGATAGCCAGTATAACCCTTATTAAATCTTCATAATTAGTTAATTAATAGTCACTGAACCTATAGGTCAAATTACAAAAATGTTGACTCCGTCATCATCAATATCCAGGCATTCTAGACAACTTTGGGTTTTGGGTCATTTAGCCATGGGTGCAAACATAAACCTGGGCTATCCTGACTACAAGCATCTTTCTCTTTCCCCGTGGGCTTCTCGTTGCCCTCATCCCAAGGTGAACAGATGGTCTAAGAGTCTCTCTCACAGACATTTTCTCTCACAGTGGCTTTACTAAAGATCCCTCCTTCTGGGAAGGACCTAAGAATTGCTAAGACATGCCTCAATCTGCAGCAGGGGTACGGCCATGGAGTTCACGCTGTGGTTGAACAAACTGGAAGTTGAAATTTAACCAGCCACACAGAAGAAACACAGAGAAAACTCAAGAAATAAATACCATGTGTGGATTCTTACCAATATGGCAACCAGAGTACAGATGAGGGTGGCCAAGGGAGTCACTGAAGGAAGGACTGTGTGCTCGAACTGCTGAACCAAACCACTCGTCATTGAGGCCTTAGGAATCTTGTTGGGATCAAGAAGTTTCAATTTTAAACCTACACAGTAAGTAGACATTTTATTTTATTTTGATCAATGGCACCCCATATTTTACCAAACAATTCCTTGAGGAAAAAAATAAGCTACGAAATCTTATAATCAGTTCAAAGTTAATATTTCATTAACTCAGTTCTGTGCTAGTCTACCTAAAATGCTGCTGGTCTTGAGATTATGCCATTTGAGGCAGCTGTCTGCATTGGGACAAGAAATTTGTGCACCTTACCGGGAACCTGCTGACAGGCACCAGGAACAGAAATCTGCTCTCTCCGCTAAAATGAAGGAAGTAAACTTTCTGAAATATAGGTCTGACCGTGTCATACCACAGCTCTGAATCCTTCATTGCCTCCAGGATAAAGTTCATGTTCCTAAGCATGGTGTAGTGTCTTCTAGGATCTAACCCATTCCTGCTTCTCCAGCCTATCCTCCATTTTCTTAAAAGTGACTTGGCTACAATGAACTGACATACCACTCTCAATACTATGTCCCTTGGTACATGCTACTCACGTTGCTTAGAATGGCCTCCTTACTTTGCAAAGTTAACTCCTAATTCACTTACTCATCTGAGAAAGCTTCTCAATCAAGAAAAGCTTTGTGATTTGCAAAGCCTAAAATATTTATTATCTGGCCCATTTCAGAAAAAGTTTGCATACCTTTCCTCAATCCTACTACTTCCTATTGAGCTAGGGTATATTCACAAATGAAGACTGTGAGTTACTCCAAAGTGACTTATCTTTGGTAGAACCAACTCAAGGTATAAATTATTTTTCATCACAACCCAAACTTAAAAATATAGCCTAGGTTTTCCATGTCTTCTCATCTCTTGCTAAAATGCATGGCTATAATTTCCTTATTGGTTTAATACTTAGAGTCATAATTTACACATTCTTCCATCCTGCTTCATCCCATATTAAAGTTTAAAAGTAGGGTTCACTATTCATGTTCTACTTAAGGCAAAATTACCCTTTAAAAATGTCTAAATATTTTATTTTTCCCCTCAAGAAAAGTGTCATCAACCTCATTGCCACAAAGAGCATTTATAAGATGCGCTGTTTACTGCACTGAAGCCTCAGTCCCTGGAACCACTCCCATGTTCATTCTGAAAGCTGAAATGCAGGACTGGAGAACAAACAGTTCAACTTCATTCAAAACACAAAATAGGTTTTTTCATTTCTCAATGTGAGTAGTCCTTTCAATAGTCAGAGTCTAAGTAAAAAAGCTTGCTATCATACCTATGACGGACAGCACTTTGTCCAAAGCATTGTACAAAGCCCAGAAGTTTGGAGCCCAATATGCATGGCAGAGGCCCCGCTTGAAAGGAAAAAGTCGGGAAAAGACTTGAGGCAGCTGGCTCTGTTGAAGAGAGATTAAACAGTGATCAATCTTTCCCAAATTCAAAAAGAGAACTATGTCTATGGCTCAGTGTGTAGCAAGTTATAAGGTCTGAGTTCCAGTCTTTGTTGCTTCAAGTAAGTACTATGATCTTGAGCAGGTCACAAACCACTTTTGTTTAACCTTCTCATCTGTTCAGTAGGACAAGATACTCGAAAGAACTTTGAACACCAGTCCAATATATTATAAGTATAATAATGGAAGAATTTATGAGGTGCAAAGGAGAAAGACTGCAATTTAATATCCAACTCTACCGAAGAGAAGGTGAGAGCAGGGAAGACTTTACAAAAAATGTAGTGCTCTCCAGTTGTAGCAGGAATTAATTAGTTGAATTAAAGTCAAATTAATTAGGGTGAGGGAAGAAGGAAAAAAATATTTGTTGAACATCTTTAACATTCTAGGCACTTTAGAATGCTGTCAGTGAATGACTATGAAAGTGCTTCAAGTATTGATTTTTAGGGTTACAAATAAATTTTAGCAAGTAGGCAAGCTAACAGATACAAAATCTATGGATAATGATGATCGACTATGTATGACATGTAGTTAAACATACAGATATTTGAATATGCATAAAAATGACTCAAGGAATACCATTCCTTTATTTGGAGAGTCATACTAAAGAGAAATAAGAAAAGACTAGTTTTGCCTATTTTATAATTTTAAATTTATTATTTTTTCTAAACAATAGCAACGGCAAAAAACATGTATTATTTTATTAAAAAAAGTAAGGCTTACCAAGGCTAGAAAAGGACCCAATGAAAGGGCAGAAACTAGAAAAACAATCAGTCCCAGGGAAATAAGGCGGAAGAAGCTGAAACTGTTCCATCGGACAGACCCATCTACAAAAAAGGAACATTCTCATTAACCAGGAGCAGGGAAACCATAACTTCTACCATGTTGTAAACCTGGAGGGATCCTGACAGTACGCCAATTTTATAATGTGGCAAGAGCAGAGAAAAGTCAGAATGGGTAAAGAGGTTATAGGATCAATGTGCTTTATAAGACCCTCTTACCAAGCAAGCCACCAAGTAAAAACAAAATAAAATATAGGAGGTTTTGCTATTCTCACAAAAACTTGCCTGGTTTATTTGCAGTGAAGCAGTAAGATCGTAGCAGATATATACCATAAGCTGGTGCTACGTAGAGGTAAATGTGCTTGAAATGTAGGAGAACAGCAAAGAGAAGTGCTCCTTCCATATGCCTTTTCTAGGAGATTTAAAAGGGAATATCACTTTAAAATTCAGAGTAAATTAAATGCAGTAATGTAGTATCCTGGATTGGATCCTAGAACAGAAGAAGGACATTAGTGGAAAAACTGGTGAAATCTGAATGTACTAAAATTGGTTTCTTAGTTTTAATAACCATACTTTAGTTACATAAGATGGTAATGTTAGGGGAAATGGGCAGAAGGTATGGGAACTCTTTGTAACTTTTCTGTAAATATAAATTTTATTTAAATAAATAAAATTTACTACACAATAAAGAACGCCAGAGATGGTTGCACAATAATGTGAGTATACTTAACATTAGTGAACTATCTTAAAATTGATTAAGTTGGTAAACTTTATATTGTGCTTTTATACCACAATTTTTAAAAATACAAGTATTTTTAAAGATATTAAAATCAAATCCTTTTTGTTCTTATGAACTAACATAATGTTGAAAATGAATAGTACATGACTTTTATAATTTCCCCATCTCCGACAATTAGGTGTTGCATAATAGATCATAAGACAGTGTTAGGAAAATAAAGTGTTAAATAAAAAAAAATGTATTTTAAAACATCTATTCTGAAATACTTAACAAATGAAATATGATGTCTTAGATGGGTTTCAAATTAATCTTTTGTGTGTGTGTGTAGATCACTAAGCTATTTTCTTTACTTATGTATAAGATTTAAATTTTCTAAAATAAATTTTAAAAAGTTCAGACAAATATTCTACATGCAATATAAGGTAAATACAGGCAAATAATTCAAGCTGGCTTTTATAGTGAGTCTAGTGGGTTCATAAATTCCTCATTTTAATAAATATTTATTGCCGAAACCGGTTTGGCTCAATGGATAGAGCATTGGTCTGCGGACTGAAAGGTCCCAGGTTTGATTACCGTCAAGGGCATGTACCCTGGTTGCGGGCACATCCCCAGTTGGGGGTGTGCAAGAGGCAGCTGTTTTTCTCTCATCAATGTTTCCACCTCTCTATCCCTCTCCCTTCCTCTCTGTAAAAAAAGCAATTAAATATAATAAATAAATAAATAAATAAATATTTATTTATTTATTAAATTCTAAGCTTGATTCGGAAGTTCAGGATACATCATCCTGACAACCCACTACACACACACACATTTTCCCTAAGGAACTAAAACCCAGAGAATTAAATTATCCCTCCTCTGCCACCTTTACAAAGTGTTGCAATAGCTGTAGTTGATTTCTGAAGAAGAGCTAGGGACAACAGTATGAATGAATAAATATAATGCTATGCTACCAAAAAATTATTTAACTCTTATACTATATATCAGGTAATTTAATATAGTGCTATCAGGCTGAAGGCATCAAGGATAATACTTGATCCTAACAAACTACCTAAAAGAACTAATGATATTCTGTTTAACAAACAAACAAACAAACAAACAAACAAACAAACCGAGTTGACTGTAACTAAAGAAGTGTGAACTCTACCTACCTCACAGGGATTTTGGAAGGATCAAATGAGATAATATCCTGGGGTTCAGCAAAGGAAACTGTCAAAGGGACCATGAAAGGCCAGGTTCCTTCTCTCACTGTTTCGTCAGGTGTGGTCTAGAATAGATGAGTTGGGAATGATAAGGAAAAAGAATGAGATGCTTCCAGATCTCTCTTCATCAATTTTATAATTTATTTAAGATTCAGAGAGGGTCTTGCTGGTTCTATAGTTAAACTTTAGTTTATTTGTTCAACAACTATTCAACAATCATTCAGTGAACACCAATTATGTTCTACGTACTTTGTGGCTTTTTATGGGTTAAAAACACACACACTTATCCAGATATTTATAGTTGACAAATAACTTTTAAAAAATTATCAAATGTGATCTTTCCAAAGTCCATGTGAGGTAGTTAACCCCATTTTACAATTAAAAATGTAACAAAGGGTAAATTTCATTTTATGAAGGAGAAAACTGAGGCTGAGAGGGTTAAATGACTTGTGTTGGGTTAATGGTTCCCAAACTTAACAGTTTATAAAAATCCCCTGGAGAATCCTAAACCACAATCCCAGAGATTCTAATTTAGTGTACAGAGGGATGTCCAAAAATGTAAATTTCTGATTTCTCCCTCTATAAAAAGGAGACTGATAATTTTAACAATCTCACAGAAGCATGAAGGCCTAGCTGTTGCCAAGTTGCAAGATTTGTTCAATAAGATATTACATATAATGCACCTAGTTGAGACATTTGGTAACCCCCGAGTGAGTCACACAGCATTTTAGGGTTAGTCAGGATTTCAACTCAGGTTTTCTGATTCCAAATTCCATATCCTCTGCCACACTATACCACATACTTCTGATGGTAAAGCCCCACCATAATTGTTATTACATTATAAAAACTGCTGAAGATTTCATTCCTAGGTACATAATCCCAACCAAATGTAGAAACTCAATTCATTTCAGGACTGTCATATCTAACAAGTTTTTAAGAATACAGTTTTCTTATCTGTGAAATGAAGAAAAGTGTCAAAGGAGATGAAATTTGTGAAAAATACTCAATAAAAATACTCAATAAAAGTTGTTGGTAACTCACAACAGTTGGTCAAATAAATTGACCCATTACTCACTATACTATTGTCTCTATTAAAAAGCAAAGTTAAAGAGGAAAAATCTAATTAACCTATTTTGTTACCTGAAATAATCGTGCAATGGAAAGTAGCATTAATCCCATTAAAAAACCATTGTATTGGAAATGGATATCTGAAATTAGGTCAAGGAAAGATAACAAAGGATAACAAATTCATAATGAACCTTGTCAACAGACTGAGTTTAAAAACGAAAAATGCTTTCTTAATAGATAAATTAAAGACAAAAATACTACTAGTGGATTGGACTTCTCATAAATGTGTTTCTATAAACAAGTCAAACCCTGGACAAGCTCTTAAATTAAAATTTATATTAAAGAAAAAACAAGAAAATTTTCCCATGTTTTTTCTACCTTAAAGATCTAGCAGCTAAGGGAAAAATGTTTTATTTTTTAGAATTAGGGATGAGAAAGGAAGAGACCTAACAGCTAGTGAAGGCCACCAGCATGCAGCACCCCAGTCTATAATACATATACAATCTTATTTACAATCACAATGAACCTGTAAAGTAGTATGAGCTCAGAGACATTAATTTACTCATGGCCTAAAGCTACTGTGATGACATAACTAGGATTTGAGTCTAGATTAAATTTGAACCAAAGTCTGGGTGTTTTCCTCTACACCAGGCTACTTCTATGAAAATTATAAATATTAGGCTTCTATTATTAGGATTTCAGAACTTTGCCCGTAAATATGTGGTAAGCCAAGGTGGCAGAAAGCCTGAAGGCCCGTCTGTTCCCATATGTAACACTATGATATGCTGTTTCCTATAAAAGGTAAGATACTAATGTACAATACTGTTTAATAACTATGTATTAATCTAAAGAGTTAACAAATCCTAGTATATTGCTTTACTTTTGGTTTAATTGGTTCTCACATATCACCACTAAATTTTCAGGGACAAAGTGCTGTAACAATCAGAGCTTGCTAAAGTTGGGCACAGACTAAAGTTTTGGGAACCCAATAATTCACCTCACACCCACTTTCCAAAAGCAATTTATGTTTCAGAATCACCATTATAAAAAGAATTAATCCTATAATTAATATATAACAGAATAAATAAGGGAATAGTACATAAAATGTCAAGGATACGGTCCACAATTAACAGCCCAAAGTTCCACAGCAGTAACACTGACAGAATAAACTTTGGCTTCTCTGTAAGTTCTTTACCTGATTTTTTCCCATCAACGCATTTACAGCACCTACATTGAAACATCAGAAAAGAATCAGAAACAACTTTGATCTTCATTAGAACACCACTATACTTCTACAGAGTGCACTGCGGTACATTCAGGTACATTTCATTAGCCATGGCTAATAAAACCGTCCATGCTGTTTTTTGACTGCTTTAAAGGGTGATAGTAGAAACAAATCCCTCAGGGGTAATTTCCTGCTTCTTTCTTAGTTGTGTTTAAATTTCGATCTGTTAATAGTATTGTAATGCCAGCAGCTAGTATGGAAAGTGATAGATATTTATGTAAAGAATAGGACAGGTGCCTAGCCGGTGTGGCTCAGTAGCTGAGTGTTGACCTATGAGCCAGGAGTAATGGTTCGATTCCCAAACAGGGCACATGCCTGGGTTGTGGGCTTGATCCCCAGTGTGGGGCATGCAGGAGGCAGCGACCAATGATTCTCCTTCAACACTGATGTTTCTATCTCTGTCTTCCCTCTCCCTTCCTCTGAGAAAAAAAAAGAAGAAAAAAAAAAGGTAAGTCACAGAAGCCATTGGGGGTGGTGGGTGTGGGGATGAGGGTAGGGATTGGGACTGCTACAGGAAGGAAAGAAAAGCATATGGAGTCTTTTGGATAGGAGAAATGGTCTTAAAACTCTACTTGAGACTACTTTTCACAACACTCACAATAATGGTTCTACCTCTGCCCTGTAACCTCACTTTCTTCCCCGTTTTCATCCGCAGGATTCAGGGACACTGCTTACGGTAATGACTTATTGTACAGTTTAAAACACAACACAGTTTTGGACTGTTCTAAAATTTGCTATTATATGAACTTTGTTTCCCCCAAAAGAGTTATAAGTTAATATTATAATTATTTCTTCAATATTTTCCACACAAAATTATATTCTCAGACTTACTCATGCACAGCATACACAAAGAGTATATCTGTAAAGATGACAGAAAATCTCTGGAAAAGTAAGGTCTTTGAGCTGGCATAATTCAGATTCTGTACATTCAGCATCTCTTGATCAAAATATTTGGCAACATGAGACAAAGCATACTCAAACCATGCAAAAAAAGGTGGGTAATCTAAGGTCCACTCTGAAGTTTCCTGTAGTAAAAATTGAAGATAGAACATATCCTAAGTAACTGAATAAACAAAGAGGATGCAAAGATTCTCTGGGTTTTAAAAAAGCACATGAAATGCAACTGTATTTAAAATATGACACAAATAGAACAATTTCTAGGTTAACACTGTACAGAACATCAAAACTTGTATCATAAGTTTGATCTTCAATTTCTTTAGTCAACTAAAGTGCAAAGGAAATTAAGCTAAAACCTTGGAATAATAAACTTGAGTATAATATAGGTCTATTCATCTATATAAAAAAAAAGGGAGCTATGGCATAACCAATGACTCACTAACTTGGGTTCAAGTTCTGTCTCAGAGATGCAATTTTCTTATTTGTAAAGTGAGTATCATATACAATTTAGTAATTCATATCAGAAATAAAAATAGACATTTTTAAATAAATAACAATAGAAGAGAATAGTTTATTACTAGATGTTATACATCATATTTGATTATTTCTTTCCTCATAAATCCTCCTATCTAATAAAAGAGCAATATGCAAATTGACTGTCACTCCAAAACACAAGATGGCCACCATAAGATGGCCTGCAGGGGAGGGCAGTTGTGGGAAGTTAGGGTGACCAAGCCAGCAGAGGAGGGCAGTTGAGGGTGACCAGGCCAGCAGAGGGCAGTTGCAGTTGGGGCAGACCTGCCAGCAGAGAAGGGCAATTGGGGGGAGGGGGGGACCAGGCCAGCAGGAGAGGGCAGTTGGGGGGGACTAGGCCTGTAGGGGAGGACAGTTGGGAGGGGACCAGGCCAGTAGAGGAGGGTAGTTGGGGACAAGGCCAGCAGGAGAGGTCAGTTGGGGGGTGGGAGGACCCAGGCCTGCAGGGGAGGACAGTTGGTTGCGGGGGGCAGGCTTGCAGGGGAGGGCAGTTAGGGCAACCAGGCCTGCAGGGGAGGATAGTTAGAGGAGACCAGACTGGCAGGGGAGGGCAGTTAGGGGTGACCAGGCCAGCCGGGGAGGGCAGTTAGGGGCAATCGGACTGGCCAGGGAGCAGTTAGGTGTTGATCAGGCTGGCACAGGACTGGTTAGCGGATGATCAGGCTGGCAGGCAGAAGCTGTTAGGGGCAATCAGGCAGAGGCAGGTGAGCAGTTTGTAGCCAGCAGTCCTGGATTGTGAGAGGGATGTTTGGATCAGGCCTAAACAGGCAGTTGGACATCCCTCAAGGAGTCCCAGATTGGAGAGAGTGCAGGCTGGGCTGAGGGACAACACCCCCCCCCCCCCAACCCCCTCTGTGCACACATTTTGTGCACTGGGCCTATAGTTGCAAAATATTAGGGAAAGAAAGGATTGTAGAAATAATTCATCCCAAATCCTCACTTGCCAGATGAGAAACTAAGGCTCAAAGAAATGAAATACACTTTCTATGCTGTGGCAGAGCCAGGGCTAGAGCCCAATTTTTCCTCTTTCCCAATCCAATGTGCTTTCACAAAGGGTGTTGCAAATATTATAATTACCAATTTATAGTTTGGTAAATGCATTTTGAAGTAAAGGGATTCCCTAAGAGTGCCAGAGGGCAGAAGAACTAAAAAATAACACACTTTTTATAAAGATTTATTTGACCTATGACCACATGGAAAACTGTTTTAATATCAATACTTTATGATTTCACATATCTTGAAAAAAAAAAAAAAACACACCACAAATCAAAAAAAGGTAAAAATTGAAACTTACCTCATAATACCACTGTGATACTGGTAAACTGTGAGTGATAGCTAGCCAGTTTCGGTGTACTTCAAAATCTGTGGAATGACTATTCAAAACAATCAGATGAATAAAAAAAATTTTGTCAATTATCAATTTCACATTTCTAATATTATGCTTTTACATGGATCAACACCCCTACATTTATACAGTCACAATTCACTATCCTTTAAAGACACAAAGAGGTATTACAATAATCCTACAACACCCTACTTCTCTGGAGGCCAGACCTTTTGGAAAAGATGGGGAAATTACAATTAAATGAAAAGGTTCTCAGAGTTATCTAAGGGGCTGACCCATATATTTTCTTAAAAAAGGCCCTCAGCCTGTTGTTCAGAGGTGACTTATTAAAAAATAATTCTAACAAGATTCATTATCTGGAAAAAGTCTCACATACAAGCTGGATAGATTTCCAATGATGAGCAGTTCATCAGACAGGGAAGGTGGGGGGAAGGCTCCTGTTTTGCCTTTCCCACATCTCCAGAATCTCCCTGTTCAGTTTCCCCCCTTATTCTGTATAAATATAGTCAAGCATCTCCCTGTAGGGGGAAGAAAAACGTCCCCTTATCCCTAGATTCTGTGGCTGGTCTGAGAATAGAAATTGACATACGACAGATGAGCAGGACAAAAAGAAAAGCCAATTTTAATCACTGAGGCATGTACAGGAGCCTCGAAAGATATGACACTCAAAGGTACCAGGTGACTGAAGTTTATATACCATCCTGAGCTAAGTAAAAGGACAGGGGTCTGGGTCCTTAAAGGGGAAAAAGGCAATTTATGGAAAGATGAGACGTGTATGCAAACAAAGGTTGCCCAGCCAGGCAGATATCTTTCAGGTGAAAAAGGGATTTCAGTAATCGCTGTTTCCAGGACAGGACCCCCTTCCTCTCCCTGCATCTCCAGGGCTGAGAACAGTGCCTGGCGCCGCAGGAAGCTGACAAACACCAGCGGAGTGAACAGTGGAGGCGGGTGTCCTTTATTTTGCATATTCGGGATGAGGAAGGACCCCGAGACTCAGAAAACTTTCAAGAGAACGCCTGACCTTGAACCCAGACTTCCAGGGCTAAGATCTAGTTATAAGGTTAAGTTAATAATCAGTAGGTAGAATGGGAAGCTTAGTAAAGGCGATGCGGCGACTACACCCCTTCCAAGTTCCCTTTCCAGGAGTCATCCACACTTCTCTCCCCCGCCCTGGCCGATCGCGGGCCTCCTCGCCCAGCCCCTGGCCGCGAGCGCGGGTCCCTTACTAGGTGGGGATGAGAAGGCATTTGAGGAGAGTCACCCCGAGCGCCAAAGCCGAAAACCAATTGCCACCACTCGTCGCCACACCGAGCGCCGCCATCGCTGCCGCACCGCGCGCGCGCTTTCCGCCAAACTGGGTTCGCTTCCGGGATCCCGCGCATGCGGGGTAGGTCCTCGGAGCCGGCGCCGTGGGCTGCGCGCATGCGCGGACCCGCCCCGCTCGCGGGCGGCTGCGGCTCCGGCTTTTAAAACTCCCGCTCGCTTGCTACTCGGGAGGTGCTCGTTCGCCTGCGTGGGTCTCTGAGGCCACAAGTTAAGTTTCATTTCTTACTCCCCCCTCTTACGCCCCCTCATCCTTCATTCTTCTTCTTCTTTTTTTTTTTTTTTTAATATATTTTATTGATTTTTTCCAGAGAGGAAGGGAGAGAGATAGTTAGAAACATCGATGAGAGAGAGTCATCGACCAGCTGCCTCTTGCACACCCCCTACTGGGGATATGCCCGCAACCAATGCACATGCCCTTGGCCGGAATCGAACCCGGGAGCCTTCAGTCCCCAAGCTGACGCTCTATCCATTGAGCCAAACCGGTCTCGGCTCATCCTTCATTCTTAAGTTCAAGTAGTTGCTGGGCGTCCGCTCCAGGTCGTCGTGGTCGTGATTTTGCCTGGTGTTGGGGTTCCCTCATAGACCTCCACAGGCTAGTGGGGGAGACGGAATTGTGAAGAGTTACAGCGGGAGTACCAGCTCCAGGGAGAGCATGCCAGGAGCAAAAATACAGGGCGGCCGAAACTGGTTTGGCTCAGTGGATAGAGCGTCAGCCTGTGGACTGAAAGGTCCCGGGTTCGATTCCGACCAAGGGCATGTACATTGGTTGCGGGCACATCCCCAGTAGGGGGTGTGTAACAGGCAGCTGGTCGATGATTCTCTCTCATCGATGTTTCTAACTCTCTATCCCTCTCTTTCTCTCTGTAAACAAAATCAATAAAATATATATTTTTTAAAAATACAGGGTGAACAACACTGTGCTTCTAGAGCTCTGAGCTATAGGGTCTGGGGGCCGCACCTGCCTGAGCCCCGGGACGGAGCCCCTTCTGGAGGAAGGCTAGACGCTGGTGCCGCTCACACTCTCTCAGCAGGTAACTTGGGTCTTGTTAAAACCAGGTTCTGCCGAAACCGGTTTGGCTCAGTGGATAGAGCATCGGCCTGCGGACTGAAAGGTCCCAGGTTTGATTCCGGTCAAGGGCATGTACCTTGGTTTCGAGCATATCCCCAGTGGGGGGTGGTGCAGGAGGCAGCTGATCGATGTTTCTCTCTCTCATCGATGCTTCTAATTCTCTGTCCCTCTCCCTTTCTCTCTGTAAAAAATCAATAAAATATATTTATAAAAAATGAAAAAAACAAAAAAAAAACCCCAGGTTCTGCTTCAGCGGGCCTAACACATGCCTGGATCATGTCAATGCTGCTGGTACCTGGGCCATAAGGGCCGAGGCAACAAGGAGCAGAGTTAGTTTGTTTCCCTCATGCCCTGATTTTGGACAAATGACTAATCTCTCTCAACCTCGTTTTCCCCTTCTTGTCCATCTGCCTCCCGGACATCTCCTAGGTGTTTCAAAGGCTGTTATAACAAACTAGAGGCTCGGTGCATGACATTCATGCATCAATATGGTCCCTAGGCCTGGCCCGTGATCTTCCTGGCTGCCAGCAGCTAGCCACGCCCCCTACCGCAAGTCTACTGCTACCCACCCCCTGGTTCCCCATCCCCCATCAGGTGATTGGGGCCTGCAGGCTGGGGGCAGCTCCTGCGTTGAGCGTCTGCCCCCTGGTGGTCAATGCGCATCATAGCGACCAGTCAGTTGATTTGCATATTACTCTTTTATTAGGTAGGATTACCCCAGACTTAAAGCACAATCTTAAAACAACACAGATTTGTTTCCTTACAGTTCTGGAGATCAGAAGTCTAAAACCAGACTTAGGCTAAATTCAAGGTGTTATTAGGGTTGGTTTCTTCTGAGGCTCTGAGGGGAGAATCTTCTATTTTTCAGCATTTAGAAGTAGGTCGCCTTCCTTGGCCTCTAACTTCTTGCTTTTATTGTCACATCTTTTGCCTTTCTGACCTACCCACGCTTCCCTCTTATAAGGACACCCGTGATTGCATCTAGGGCAGTGATTGGCAAACTCATTAGTCAACAGAGCCTCAGATTACGGACCGCTAATCTAGGGGGTCACATGGATAATTCAAGACAATCTCCCCATCTCAAAATTTAAGTTAATCACACCTGCAAAGTTCCTTTTGCCAAATAAGGTGATATTCACAGGTTCCAGGAATTAGGACATAGGTATTTTTGAAGGTCATTATTTAGTTTACTACACATCTCAAACTCAGTATATCCCAAACTGAACTCATGATCTCTCAATATTGTCCACTAAGAGATTGACACCAATTTCCCAGTTGTTCACCTCCCCTGCCCCACATCCACAAGCTCACTGTGAACTTACTAACCCCTCCCAATCTTCTTCTCCCTTTTTCATTTTTTCTAAAGACTCTAGAAATGTTAAATAGTTGGTCTTCCAGCTTCCCTGGCAGCTAGGCGAAGCCTGATGACATAGTTCTGTCTAGTAAGACTTAAACAGAAGTTTGCTGGGAAGTTCCTGGGAAAGGTTTTCTTGAAGACCGTTGCCATGAATTTTGCCCCTTTTTCATACTTCCTGCCTTTAACTTGATCATGATGCATAGAACTGGACTCAGCTATGAGGGCAAAGTGCTTTATGTTGGCCCTGACATCACTGAACTGCTAACCAAATTCCTCCTACCTCCAGAATTCTTGTTTTCTTATTATCTAAGGAAACTTCTTATTATCTGAGGAAACACACACACACACACACACACACACACACACACACACACACTCTTACGTATTTAAGCCACTGTTGGTCATGTCTGTTCTTTCCAGATAAAATATTTCTAACTGCTGTTGTTAAGTCCTGTTGCTAATAAATTAGCAACTATTTATTTATTTAATAAGTCCTCAACTGATGGTCATTTAGATTACTCACAATTTTTGCTATTATAAATAATATAAGAGTATATATTTCTTGTATATTTCTTGTATATATAGCTTTGCATAAAGTACAAGAATATCCGTGAGATAAATTTTTAGAACTTGGAGTGCTGCATTAAAAGCTTTGCATGTTTGAAATGTCGATAAATACTAGTACCAACTTGTCCTTCAAAGAGATTGCATTAGTTTACACTCCACCAATAGTATATGAAGGTGCTTGTTTCCCTGCCCCCTTATCAACACTACCACTGGGTTTACACCTGCTTTTTTTCCTTTGAAGTACTAAAATGCACTTTAAAGAAACAGGCATCATAACAATCCCTTCTCTGAGCAAGAGCTTTAGTGTTGTTTGGGTTTTATCTTTCTGAAAGCAGAGCTGGGTCGTCTTCTCTCTCCTGGGTTCCCCATTCTAAAGGGTTGGGCAGTTGACCTGACCACAGAAATACCGCTGGATCACCAGGCAGAAGGTTAGCCAGACTCTGGGCCTGTGCCCTGCCTGATGATGGAAATGCAGAAAAGCCCAGTTTTATAATAGAACAGAGAGCCATTGTCGGGAAACCACAAATTGCTGACTTGCTCCTGCAAACAATCGATATTCAGAAGCCGACTCCAGGAATTCTAAAACTGCCCCCCTGCATAAAGAGCTGAGTGGGGAGAGGACAGTCTTTTAGAAAAGAACTCAGCAACAGAGGCCCTGGCGGTGCTTCCTAGAGTGCCATCTGGAAGGCCCTGTGTGCCCTTCACTACTCCCTTTGATGATCCCAGGCAGACCCTAGGCTGCCAGAGCTGGAGTGGGTCGGGAATCATACCACCCTACAAGACTCCAGGTAAAGAGCCAGGGCAGTTCCAAGAAGTAATAGCTGCCTTTCAATGGGACGGTGCAGAGCTGTGGTTACTAGTAACAGCTGGGCTCAAATCCTAACTCAGTTACTTACCAGTTCTCTCTGACTTTGGGCAAGGTACTTCATCTCTCTCAGCCTCAGTTTCTTCATCTATAGGATGGAGATAATAATACTGAATTTCAGAAGGTCATTGTGAAGATTAAATGGAATTATTATGCTTGTAAATAATAGCATGATGCCTGGCTCTTTGTAAGGACTTAATGAATTACTGTTGTTGTTGTTGTTATTAATAATAACAATAAGAACTGGCTAACTCCAGGAACTGGAGTTACTCAATTGGCCCCAACTCTTTCTTCTTTAAGAAAGCTTTCTTTAAAAACTAGGGAAACTTACTACATTGGATTAACTAGAGAGAAATGAATGAAGTACATGTGTAAAGCTCTCTTATAGTTTCCTGGGCCTAATCAGGAGACATGCAAAGAAAAGTGGGAGACAGACAGAGGACAGTTCTTTGGAACATGCCTAGTAATCCTGGTTTGAATGGGATCTGCAGTGGTATTGACATCTGGGATCCAAATTGGAGCATGCAGCTGGTCACAGTGAAAATGTTTTGCAGTGAAAATGTTTTCCCTCATTAAAAGCCCCTTTTGAGGAGACTTGATCCCTTGGGGATCTTGAGGATAATATGAAGAAGTAATATATTATACTGGACTCATGATGCTTAATAATATAACAGGAGCAAGCTCTGGTCATCACCCACTGAGCTCAGTGTGGTATATTTTGATCAAACTGTCTATGTCACAAATATTCCATCTTCCATTGCAACATGGCACAACTTTCTCCCAATGCCCAATTCCTGCCACTTCATTAACATGAAAACTCACATCTCACGAGGTACATGGAGAATAGTTTGATAATGCTACCTGTCTACCAGCTCCTTTGTTACTGTCCTTCTCTCACGAGCCCTTGGCATCTTATGCCCCTTCCCTTGAAGTTCATGAACACTGAAAGTTCCCACGTGAATCCAGGCTGCAACTAACATCATAGGAAGAGTGGAGGCCTTCCTCTATCAGGATATGATTACATAAATCCTGAGTGTAAGCCATCGAGCAGATAAGGACCAATTTGAGCTTTCCAGTTATCCACCTATTTAATACATGGGAAAATGCAGTAACAGGCTATAATTGCCTAATGCCAGA